AAATAAACTGTTTCGTTGGCTAATATTCTTTGTGGTGAAAAATAGTCGCCAGACGGATGTCATCACGTATGTACAAATATTGTATGTTGCACGTCAAGGTTAATGGTTTACTAAAAAAACTATTATATTTTCCACGATGACCAAAACCTAGGAAACTCGTTAGTGTTATAGCTGATTTTCGTTCAGGTTTCTTTTTTTTTTTTAATGGTTAAATTATGGTATTTGTCCAATAAAGCAGGTACTCTATTAACTGTCGTTGGATCGATTCACTTTGTTGTGGGTTTAAGGCGATTTTTCACGATTGTCGACGGTGTGTGTGTGCAACGAACAGGATGGTTTAGCCGGGCCGAATACATAAGTTCACCGTGTAATAAATGCACAAGCAACAGCAATATAGTCTTCAACAGTCGGCACGAATAAGTCGAATGGGTTGCTTGGTCCAAACACGAATCTGATACGGTTGTCAATGTCTGTTTATCGGCTGACTATATAAATGATGACTAAACATAATTCGAACACATCTTAACACAAGCTCAAAACGCCAAGCAGAAAGCTGAAACGGTCAAAAGTGATTGACCAGTCGCGTAATGTGTTATTATAATATTCCAGTACGAACGTTGCTCATTGTGAAAAAATAAAACTGGTTATTTCGATTTGTATTTGTTATTGATGTGGACCTAAAAAAAAAAAAAATACAACCGCCGCGTCCAAGTTAATTGGATATTATACAATATTATAAACGCCCGCATTTTTTTTTATTACCGTTTCTTGTGTTTACAATAACGATATTGTCTTTGACCTTACTGTACATACGGAAAGGATAGGATAGGTTTGCTATTGTTAGAGCGCAAAAAACTGTATCACTCTAATAACATATTATATTTTAGTGCTTGTAGTTTTTTTTTCCCCCACTGACGTTTATAGGTTTGAGCATGTGGATATATATTATTGTGTATGTGTGTACACTCTGGAGAACATGTATAATATGCGTTTGCTGTCTTACACAAAGAAGTCGGAGACGACGTTTGAAAATAAATTAGGGTTTCATAGTAGTTCGTCAAGAGAAAAATTAAGGTGCAGGGCCACTGCCGCCACCGCCGCTGCCTCCGGGGCAATGTACAACATAAAACCAGTTTAGTTTTTTTCCCCTCGTCTTTCGCCAACCGCGTTTTACCAAAGAGCCGTGTAAATTAATTTACAGTAAAAAAAAAAAAAATACCCACAAAAAAATCGGTCGTAGCCAATCAACGTTGAAAAAAATAGGTACACAATAACCTCGGTCGTGAACTTGGCTGGCGCGTTTACTTTGTCATATTTTGTCTGTGATTATTATTACACTACTTTAGCTGACTTTACTTTAAGACTGTCGACGGCCTTTCTCGTCGTCAATTAGGCTTAACATTAAATTTAACCATAATAATATAACCGGTACATATTAATGCGGTAATAACGCTGGTCTTGACTCTCAACCAGAGTTGTGCAAATTCTTATTAGAATGAAAAATTGTCTTCCTTTATTTACTGGTTTTATGTATTTCCTAAATGTAGAATATATTAGATTTACAATATATTTTCAAATATAATTACCTGAAAAAAACACTTAAAAAAATAATTTAAAAAAATATTTTTAAAAATTATGCGAATAATTTAATTTGAAACTATTCGAATAACTTTAACTTGAATAATGTGTTATCTAGATGTTTATTTTTAGATAACCTTTCATTCGAATGATGCACAACTCTGCTCGAGATCAACGACATTTTGAAAATATTAAAAAAGGGTATTTACACAAGAACTCGAAGAACCATCTCGACCAGATTTAAATCTACAACTTTAACACTGTAACACTATTCTCTTAAAAACAATTTTTAATGCATCTTATTTTGATGAAAAAAACATTGAATTATCTTCTTTCTTTTCTATTCGTTTTTCGGTTAATAGTTATTCGGTTTGTAATATTTGTGTTTTTTTTTTTTGTTAAATTACAACCGTTTTCCCTATTAGGTTAGGCTCGCTCGCCAATAAACTCTGCTCGGAGGGCCCGCGGAGACACCGTTTTTAAATAATGAAAGTGGAAATTTGATTAGTTTTTTATTACTATTTTTTTACAAGGGCCACGCCGGTCCGTCGCCCGAGCTTGACCTCTGCGCCTCGATCACGTAGCACACGTCCTATGATTTCATATTCCCACGTCAGTTGTGTGTGGCTGTGTTAATTTATCACAGCACACACACACACACACAATAGCCAATACCGCGTAAGGGTCCGGAACGATTACAGACGTATGGCGGTCACATTACCAAGATGATGGCTTGGCCTCGTTTCTCAAAGAAGGGTCAACGTTTTGTTTTGCACATTAATGAGTCACACAAGTGATCAGTCAAACTTTGCCAATTAGAAATTGCACACACACTCACGTGATTTTTCCAAAACGGTACGGACAGCTGTTTTGAACTGGTTTTAGGTAAAAAAAAAAATGTTTAAAAAATGTGTATATATATACTTGGTGTATTATAATTTGCGTGTACGCGTTTGGAATACCAAGTGTGTACTACGGTCAGTCGGTTGCGATCCACTCTGTATTACCGCCGTTAACAATAATATGTAATATACATAATGTATAATTTTCTAAAAAAAAAAATACTTGTTTTTGAAATCCGGATCGTGTGGGTATAACGCGTGCGAGATACAAAAATCAGCACGTTTGAACCGACCGACCACATAAAACCAAAATGTAAGTATGTGTGTGTGTGTGTGTGTGTTCACTCAAAAAATCGGCTGTCGGTTTATTATATATTGTTAACCAGTTTCAAAATATATTACTGGCTTTAATAAGTGTAATATAAATGTACGGGGTTATTCGTACAGGACGAGACGTTCGTTTTCTTTTTAAAAATAACTGCAATTTCCAAGTTTTTTTTCACTTGGAGTACATAGTTTAATATTATGCTATTTTTACAATAAAAACCAATGTAATGTATGCGATTATGTGCATTGTGCATATACTCTGTATGCACACGATGCAAGGACGATGCACAACATCCGCCGTGCAAGTCGGCGTGTGCAGCCTTGTCACCAAAGAACATTTAATTTTACTATTGTTATAATCCGTATAAATACTCCATAAAGGAGTTACTTTGGTTTAATTTTGTCGTTAGTCTTCAATCTACTGTTCAACTGTAGTATTCATTTTATCAACTTGTTGTCAAACGGTTAGATTAGGTTTGTCCTGGACGATCTACCGCAATGTCCACTATGTGTCTTGCTAGATATTACAACAACATTGAAATTTGTATCTTATTTAGTATTTTCTAGAACTTTACCGACGACTTTTTCAACTTAAATTGTAACATGTATTATATAAATATTAAATCAACAATAACTTGCTGGAAATTTTGACAGCTCGATAACCAGTTTGAACGATTAGATTCTTATGTTATTAAATTTTAAAATTTAGGACGGTAGGTGCAGTGCGGTTGAGTAACGCAAATAGATTTTAAAGAACTTCAAAAGTAGCTATCCAAAACCGGTTGTCGGTCAGTCAACATTTTTCTTAATTCAAGTTAATTAAATATAGGTTTCGGTTCAAGTTTCAAAAGTCGATAGAGCTCTGGAAAATAAACTAAATTAGATACAAATTTGAATATTGTTGTTGATTGTGAAATAACATAAGCCACTTTGCCCCCAAAAAGAATACTTCAAGAGAAAACTAGTGTCTTATCCTAAACGAATCGCCCCGTATGTGTATATATATATATATATTTTTTTATTCTTTTTTTAATGAAATGGTCGGATTTCGACTTTCCACGGCCGCAGCTGCAGCGGTCTAGCACGTGCTCAAGGCGAATAAAGTGCGATCATATTATGGTTAATAAACGTGCACCCGAAACGGACAAGTCCACCGTTAATGACGGGTTTAAGTCGACAAGATATAATTATATGGGTGTACGTACAGCCGATATAACCGCGCAGGCACTTGGTGAATCCGACCGGTCGGTGCACAATATTGCAACGAGATCGTTGTTATTGTATTAATGTATATACATATATTACAACAAGAGTTTCTCTCCGAGAGAGAAAAAAAAAACACCAAAATACTATTATTATATTATACCGTGTTTCGGACACAAACGGAAGGTTTCATTAGGTCGACTAGTGCAGGATTATCTGTTGTAAACTGCTTTTGCTCCTGCTGCTTACGGCAAAGCGATTGTCCCGGAGTCGAGCCAAATGGCTGGCAAGAGCAACCAGAGATACACTGTTTATGAAAAAAATGCCGTTACAGTTTTATGTTTAGCCAAACGAGCTATTAGATGAGCTGTTCGTGTACGACACGCGATCCTTTTGTATCCTACAGGAGTCGGGAGACCTTGCCGCATCTCCCTCTACGACGGATTCGCCTTAACCGTGGTATGACCGAGATAAAACGCATTTGTTTTATACCATGCAGAGACGGATTTGAAATCGGACTAATTGAACACTCAGAGTGACTTGGAGAGAACGATATTGTATCCATTATATACACAGACCGTCGAGACAGCGGCGGTTTGGTTTGTTTCACAACTGTTGTACTTTGCCACGCACGACAGCCGCGGTTCAAACTCATTTGTTATTGTGTAGTTTATAATAATATGCATGTAGTTATTATACTATGCTCTAGAACAAATAACGGGTTGGCCATAATATGTGTATAGTATTTTTTTATTTTTTTTTTTTACTCCAATCCTAACCTAACCGCACACACACACAGTATCCGACACAAAAGCCGGTACCGCATTGATCATTTATTTTACAATAATATAATATAAATGAATAGCCGAGCGATTAAAAAAAAAAAAACTAACCGTTTAGCCAAACCCGCAGTTTCTAATCTAAGACAAATGTGTGCAATCCACACAAATCACATGGGGCGCGGAATTTGAAATTTTGTCCAAATTTTTCACTTAACAAGAATTGTTTTTTTTTTGTTCTTGGGCTAATCTATGTTTTGTATTATTTCAGATGCGTCCTGTTCGAACGAGGCGGTGCACTTGCAACAGCGATTGCGCAGCCTAAGTACGGAGCTGGTGACCCTCCGGAATAGCCTGAACCAAGGCCAAGGGGCGGCACACGGGGGACAGGGTTGCCCGCAACCGACCACCGTCAAACAATCGTCTGGTTCGAATTTCACCAGTAATAACAATAATAATAACAACAACACTATACTGAACACTGGCAAGTCGGCACCTACCAGCCCGTCCAAAACCACCACGTTACCACCTCCGGTGCTGCCGAGGACTTCGTTACCCACCTTACCCATTGCAGGTAATAAAATAAAGGGGGAAAAATAATATGACTCATACCTAAGTCTTTGCTGTAAAAACAACCGAAGAATTCGACAGCGTTAAAAATAAACAGAAAAAAATATATACATAATATGTAGTTGGTCCAACTAAAATATTATAGTTAATATAAGGACACAACAAATTTCTAGTAACTAGGCCAACTAAATTTTCAATTAAAGCAACTATACATTTAGTTGGATCAACTGTGTATTGTTTCCTGAGTATCGTCCCCACTGAGTTGGTAAAAAAAAAACAAAATCCAAAAAAAAAAATAATAAAACGTTCAATCAATAATCAACGTTTAGTCATAAATGAGACACAAAAGGAGCAGCGCTAGCTTAACAATTCTAAGTTTATTTTTTTTTTTCAGTTGACATTCAAGTTTTAATTAAATTCGATAATCTTAGTATAGTAAACGGACTTATTAGTATTCGAGTTTCAGATTTTTTTTTTTGTATCGATAAATAGTTTGTTAAAACAATTTGATTTTTTTTTTAATCTACCTACTTGTTTTGTATTAAGCAATAAAGTTTGAACATCTAGTAGCCACAACTTAGTAAGTAACTTACCTACTACTACCTACCACTAACCTACTAATTGATGAGTAGCCACAACTTAAGATAATCTGAAACAAGTAATGCGTTTTAGTAATGCGTCTATGTAATTGTTTTTCAAATAACAAAAAAAACATGCCGAGACATATTATTGATGTCTGTAAGTGTTTCTGTATTCGATGAGGACAAGTTGTGTTACAAATAGCTTATTTGTATGAAAATTGGCACTTGACCTCTTACCACTTGACCACTTGAAATTATGTACAATATGTAATGCTTAATAGGTACATATTTTATAGTTACACGAAATTATAATAGTTATGAATTTTTACTAATTTATGATAATCCATTCACGCCGAAACCAATCGACATTAACCTAATGTCGTCGACAAATTATGTAAAACCGAACAATTAACCTTGATTTTTACTTTTACTGTGGCGAATGAATATTTATTAACGCAAAAACCGGGTGATTTTTTTTTTTTTAATCAAAATTGCAATAGTTATTATAAAGTAGTATTTTTACATAACGTGACAATTAAAAGCCAATAAAAATATAGCCAGTTCCAACTTCCAGTTGGGTTTTACTTTGCGCTAAAATTATCATCAACATCAGTAGCGATTTTTTAGAAATGATTTTTCTTCGAGTTGCTTGCAGTAAAAGTTAGCACATAATACTAGCTGGTTTTTTACACCTTACCATTTCTTATCCCACACGATTGCCGACGTACGCAGTTCAACGTTTCACTATTGACACTTCAACAGATATAGTGTTATTATTTAAGTCTATTTTTATATTAATAGTAAGCGTATAGTAGGTATTAAAAAAAGAACCGATTAAGTACTGTGTTTGAAAATATCGCGTTAACCGCAGTTTGCTTGACCTTCGTGCAATAGTTTATTGAAATATTTTAACCATCTCGAGTATTTCCGCCGCACATATGTTGTTGTTAATTTCTGATGGCCAATTCCACGGTTGATTTACAACCGAAGACGTTGGATGCAATTATTATTAACGATCGAAATTTAACCGAGAGGAAAGAAAGAGGGAAAAAATATACATTATAATATCGAGTACATATTCTATTAAATTTGCTCGAACAATATATTTTAATCCAATCATGATTCGCGTCGGATCTTTATTCTTCACGATAATAACTTAGCATCTACAAGTATACACAAGTAATAGTTCATGTAGCAACGTTCTGTATAAATTCCACAGTGTTGTTTAGTGGCCGATTCGTTTTTATTTGGTTAGATCGTAGTTCAATTGAATAATAATAAAAACTACTCAATTTTCAAAGCTATTTTCACTTACAAAGCCAAATTAAATAGAAGTGCACGTAAAGTATTTAGCTAAACTGTATTAGATACAATATTGTGTGACGAAAATATAAATTTGAATTATTGTTTTCACTTAAAAGCAACAGTGACCCTCTTGAAAATAACTGTAATATATGGTTATGTAGTACGGTATAGTATTATCATAGATGCAGTTGTTCTCAATAAGCGTATAAATTATTGTACTCTGAAATCAATTTGGGCGAACAATTTTCGAAACATTTTTTTTTTTTTTTTTGGTCGAAACTTAAGCGTTTCAATGATTTTTTCCCGCAGATAAACTCTTCAAGGGCAAAGATGAGTTGGCCAACAACAACGGGCAGTCGCCCAAGTGCGTCAACGCCTCTTCGCCGGCAGCTCAACAGCAACAGCAACTACAGAAGACTGAAACTAACCAACAGCAGCAGCAGCAGCAGCAGCAACAGGGGCAACGACGGTCTCACGGTCCGGCCACGGCTGCTGCCACGGGGTATACTACTACCGGAGGCGGTGGGTTGACCGTAGACGGCGGCGACCTGATCCATCTTCCTGGGCCATTGACCGAAGACGCCGTGCTCAAGGCGCTGCACAGTCGGTTTTGCGCGACACAAATGTTTGTAAGTATACATAAAATCCATCCATGTGCAATAAAACAAACCACACCGGCGGCTCTCGCTCCGAGTAGAATACACTTTTACGAGCCCGCTGCCCTGCCATTTTATTATTATAATACATACCACCGCAGGCGAAACGACCTCGACGTGCCCGGAACTGTCCACTGTGCGGCGGTTGCACGACCTGCCAATTCAAGGGCAATAAGGTCTAGGGATATCACACTACAATCCTATATTGTACGGTATAAAGCGAAAAACAAGGACAAGTAGATGATGACAAGTGGATGTTGGCAATTCTTTAAACTTCACACCAAACGGCCAAACTTTTCTAGGGACCATACACGTCACTCTTATTACTTCTATAAGAAGAACCTCTATAAGAGTACTCTACTAAAAGGATGCTCTTTTGAACAGTTTACAAAATTGATGTACATTCTTTAGCACGTTTGCCACGTAGCGTCCATGACGGGTTCGTGTGGAGTAATGAAATATATTACGCATAAACTGTAAACATATTTTTCACATCAAATAAATTATAGCGACCGCTTTCCGTTAGAAACACACTATAATACGACGTACTTGGGACAACGTATAATACACCGAGGCGGTGTTGTTTAATTTTCGGATTTTGTAATTATAATGCGCCGTTATACGAAGGGAAAAAAACTAGTATTTTGTTTTTTTCTTTAATCCGCCGACGGTGTAATGTTACTATTTTAGACGGACAAACTATTCTATTACTCCGGGATATAGTTCATAATATTATAGTTTAGGTTTACAAATTAAAATTACCATATTTGTGTATCGAGTTATTGCCGGTATCGAATTATGTGTGTTCCGATGCGCGATGCGTTTTGGTTTTCAATGAACTCCAAAATACGTGTACTTAAGCCGGTCCGATACCGCGCCGACTTGTAATAATTACTATGGCCAAACCCTTGAGATTTTAATAACGAGTAATTTTTGTAATTTTTTTCCGCCCGTCTCCAACGTGCGTTGTGTGTCATTAAGTATTATAACACCGGACCGTAACGGTATGCATTAATCACGTTGAACAAACAACAACACAACCGGAGAATCCAGTCAAAATACACATTAATGACTGACAAAAAAAAAAAAAACCAAGCAATCCGGTAATACAATAATATTATAGAGTTGTTCATTTGTTTTGCCCTCGCTCATTAATGGACCGTCAATTAATTATATACTATCGTCGACAACTGATTTTAACAAAAAAAAATTGCAAATAAAAGCGATTATAAGTAACTAATAAGTACCTACGGGCTACATGCGATAGTATAATAAATTATTATTAATTACTATACAATGCTCGGGTGCAACGAAACCACTCCTATTGCGTACACCTTATTCGGGGGTTTTTTTTCCATAGATAAATATTATAATATATATATATCTAGATGTTATTTACACAGTGTGACAAAACATATTGCCAGCAGGTTATTTGCACTGCTCGTCCAGCTCGCAGCGAACACCTGTTGCCTATTGCTTAATCCATACACCCGAACAAATAATGTATTGTTTTAGTAGAGCGACGAACTCGAACTGATAATAATGTTTATTAGAGCTTAAGCTACGGCCAGACTTGACCAAAAAACAAAAGAGTAGGCCTCGCTGGGCTTAGCGTTGAAAATGGCAATGGGACGTTACAACCGTCAATTAAAAGTGAAAAAAAAATATATATAAATTGATTTACTTGTGCCCAAAGGCAACGCCGATTGGAACATAATATTTTGCCGGTTTCAAGAAGACCTGTATCATTAAAAAAAAAACCGTAAACCTGGTTAAATTATATTATAAAAAAAATATATATAACATAATATACACCTGTAATGCGCGTACAAGGCCCACTATAGCCTGGGGTTAGGTAATATTGAACAAACCGTTGTGCGTGTCGAGGCTTTTAGAATTTAATATCGACGGCGGTTGACAACAAACCCCTAATTTGTACACCAGGGCGGTCTAATTTAAAATGAAACGTGAAGTTTTTTTCAAATTTGTATTACCTTGGTATGAAATCCCGGTTAACGTGTGTACTATCTATAAACAATTTAATAGTGGTAATAATAATTTAACGGAGGTTCTTACATAATAAACGACGTAACAGGTATGAAAACATATTTTAACTTCAACAAAAATACCGTTGAACTATTTCAATGAATGAATATAGTATGTATTAAATAAATCATAACTGCATCAATAGGCAATAAATCAATAATTGTTTTATATTTAATATTGGTAAAATATTTTCCATGATAATGTGTAGAAGATTTCAAACTATTCCAGATGACTTTATTGGGGACCATACAAATGATCGGTTGTAAACTAGTTAGTTGATAATTGATTTAGAATAGATATCTTTATTTTGTCAAAAACCACCAAAGTCGATATTGAACAAACTACGAGCAAAGAAATAGACATGATTTTAGTTTAAATAAAAAAAAAGATACCCCGAGACAAAACTATAAGTTTAGTTCGGTTCCGGTAAAAACTAATTTTACAACGACATTGCTGTAACTTTTTGACTTAAACTTCTAGATCAATGTGCATAGATCATAACAATCCGGGTGTCATCTATAGTCGCTAATGTTATTTCAATATTGAGGAACCCTTTAAGAGGCCCAGTGATTCAATTGACATGGTTTTGCTTGCTCAATAATATACAGCCTTTGACTTTTAGGTTGATCGATTAATATAAAAGTTATATGAAAGTTTAATTGTGATGTTGAATTTAAAGGGATGTAATGAAATTTACTGACATTTGTTGTTTTAGACCAATGTTGGACCGATTTTGCTGTGCATGAACTCGTACAGAGACGTCGGCAACCCGATGACGTTAACCAGCATGAGAGGCGCCACGTTAGACTTAAAATTGCACAGGGTCGTTTTGGACGCTGTCAGACAACAGACCGAGTCTGGTTATCCCCAAGCAATAATACTTTCCGGTAATATTATTTGCCAATGCCGTTTTTTTTAAACGTTCACCGTTTGTTATTTATAATTCCTCAATGAATTCAGGCGTAAGTGGTTCCGGCAAGACGTACGCTTCGATGTTGCTGTTGAGGCAACTATTCGACGTGGCCGGAGGTGGACCGGAAACGGATGCTTTCAAACATTTAGCTGCTGCGTTCACGGTGCTGAGGTCCTTGGGCTCGGCCAAAACATCTTCAAACTCAGAGTCTAGTCGAATCGTAAGTGTGTTGATATTGTTACACGTCCGTTATCCGCGTGACGGTTAAGGTGTTAAAATTCAAATGTCGCATTGTAGGGTCATTTCATCGAAGTACAAGTGACGGACGGCGCGTTGTACAGAACCAAGATACACTGTTACTTCTTAGACCAAACGAGAGTGGTGCGACCGTTGCCGAATGAAAAAAACTATCACATTTTTTATCAGATGCTCGCCGGTCTGACCCAAGAGGAAAGGGGTTAGTAGTCACAATGGCGGGTTATGGTGTTGTCGCTACTGTGGTGTTTTTATATTGCAATATAATTGCTTGCAGTTAAGTTGAACTTGGAAGGATATTCGCCTTCGAACCTACAATACCTGATGCACGGCGATACCAGACAAGACGAAGCCGAAGACGCTGCGAGATTCCAGTCGTGGAAATCTTGTCTGGGTGAGTGCACAAAACTTAACTGTGGTCCCCGCGAAGACCCAGCTGCCGTTAACGCATCATTACCAACCGTTTTATCCGCACAGGTCTTCTCGGTATACCCTTCATGGACGTGGTCAGGGTTCTGGCCGCAGTGTTGCTGTTGGGCAACGTGAATTTCGCAGACAACGGATCCGGCGAAGTGGTAGCCAAAGGCGAAACCGAATTGGCCTCTGTAGCCAGACTTCTGGGCATAACTTTCCCGTCGCTTTTCCGAGGGATCACCACGAGAACGCATTCCGAAACGACTCGCGGGAACACTCAACTGATAAAGACCACTTGCGACGCCAATATGGTCAGTAGCAGTCTGCTGCACGACGTGCTCTTTCAACCCTACCTGAACACAATGTAAATTAACAAATTTCTCGGTCCTCAGGCCAATTCCATTCGAGATTCCCTGGCCAAAGCGCTTTACTGCCGAACCGTGGCCACCATAGTGCGCCGGGCAAACAGTCTGAAACGGCTGGGATCGACACTGGGCACGTTGAGTAGCGATTCCAACGATTCGGTGCACAACCAAGCCGAGGTGGCCAGTCAACACGCGTCCACCATAGGCACGGCCGGTTCCAAGTCCAGCAAGTCAATGGCCGCACTGAACAACGCAGTGAACATAGCTAGACACGCCACGGACGGGTCTATTGGAATTCTAGACATGTTCGGCTTCGAAGAGCCAAAGGTAAGACCATCTCGGTAGCGAGGCATAGTAAAGTAGAAACGTGTTTAGGGCCGCCCCACTTGGGTCCAAAGACTTAGAATTTGGACACGGCCGTTTCCCAAGCACGTTTCTGGCAAATAGTATTCTTAAGCGCCCTTCTCTAACCCATGCCATTGACAATTCTAGCCCAGCCAACTCGAGCACCTGTGCATCAACCTTTGTGCCGAGACAATGCAGCATTTTTACAACACTCACATTTTCAAGTCCAGCATAGAGTCGTGTCGTGACGAGGGCATACACTGCGACGTGGAAGTCGATTACGTGGACAACGTGCCGTGCATAGATCTCATTTCTTCATTAGTGAGTTTCGTTGTTTGTAGTTTTTTTTTTTTTTTAAAGTTAGGAAAAGAAAAAGACGAAAAACACCGCGGTGAAAGTATCTATTTAATTAACTTTTAACAATGTTTTCGTTTACAGAGAACTGGATTGTTGAGCATGCTGGACGTGGAATGTTCCATAAACGGATCGGTAGAACTGTACCTGAGGAAAGTGAAAACACAGCACAGAAACAACCCTCGATTGGTCGAATCAAAAACGATCGATCAGAGGTCCTTCGGCATACAACATTTTGCCGGCCGTGTAGTGTACGACGCCACAGATTTTCTAGGTATAATATACAACCGCCCCCTGCTATACAGATATCGTGCAAACGATGAAAAACAGCGCGGCCTAGTGGACAACTCTATAAGTTCTCTTATTATAAAATATTTTGTGATGACATTTGGGAATTACTTCTAAAAACGAATGATTCTACAAATAAGTAAATTTTACATTTTTCAACTCTTTATCTTGTAGAAGGAAGAATAACTAGCGTTGTTGTTCACTGGAGCGCCTTTGCACGGTGTCTCTATGGTCATTTTCCGCTGTCGTGCCTGTTTAAATAATAATTATTTAAAAAATGTGTTTTTCTACAGAAACCAACAAAGACGTGGTGCCCGACGATCTAGTGTCTGTCTTCCACAAGCAGTCGTGCTCGTTCGGTTTCGCCACACATCTGTTTGGAAGCGAACTCAAAGCGCTTTACAGTCTTGAAACCGTCCCAAGAGGAATCAAATTCCGAATATCTCCGACGTCGCATTCCGATTTGTAAGTTGAATGCGTTTGGCGAAAAAGGTTGAACTATTTTTGGCGCAGTGATGGAATTAATTACATGGTTGTTTTAAAAAAAAAAACTATCTACACATAGCGTGTGGGCCTTTGAAATTATGAGCGTTGGTCAAACAGTGTGTGCGTCAAAAGGTTTAATGTAATATCTTAAATCAACTAACAACTGTTGACGATTGTTAAACAATCATTGTTTGTTGATACGATCGCTGAAAATAGTCAATCTGAAAGATAATGACACTCGGCAGATGCGTTGTAGTTAATAATTAGGCCCGAAAGTTCATACGTTTGCATGTTTTTTTTTATTAAATGGTCCGAACAATAGCTGTATAAGCCACAAACTTGTGTAATAACTTCCACGGGCCCTATTAATAACGATGACGATGTGCCTACTGTCTTAAGTAGTGATGGTAATCCGAAAATCCGGATTTTTCAAAAAAACGCTTTTCAAGTCATTTGAAAATCATATAATTGTTAAATACTATTACAATATAAAGATATGTACCTAAGTAAAATTTGTTGATACAAATTTTTAAAAAAAACTCTTAACTTTGTCTATAAAATGCTTTCGGATTTCGGATTCCGGATCTCAACAAATCCGAAATTCAAAAGCAGTTTATCTCTTTGGTGTTTTGTTTTATTTTCACATATTTATCAAAAAAATGTTACTTAGATATAGAGCTTTATATTGTAAAATTATTTAACACTTATATGATTTTTAAGTAGCTTAAATAGCGTTTTTTTTTTGTGAAAATCCGGATTTTCCGATTCCCGTCACTAGTCTTAAGCGATAGTTGATGATTGCGAATTCAATATTGTTAGATTAAACGGAAACGAACCCGTGTCGACGTTAACCCAAGATTTTCACACTCGCCTCGACAACCTGCTGAGATCGTTGGTGCACGCCAGACCTCATTTCGTGCGTTGCATAAAAGCCAATTCGTCGGAATGTCCGGATAAGTTCGACAGAGCTGTGGTCATGCGACAGATACGTTCCTTGCAAGTACTGGAGACGGTCAACTTGATGGCGGGAGGTAAGTTGGCACAGAACTGTTGGCTCTAGACTGGTGGAATTTAAAAAAAAAAATAAACGCCCCTAACCCGTGCGAACCATCAATTGTCACCAGGTTTCCCCCATCGGATGCGTTACAAAGCTTTCAATCTGAGATACAAGATGCTGGCTCCGTTCGGCAAGCTGTTGCGTACCGACGATCGAGCCACCGAAGACTGTCATTTGATATTGCAGTGCGTCGAAGAGAAAATGGACTCCAGACAAAGCGAAGTCAGCATGAGTTGGGCATTTGGCAAGAGACACGTTTTCCTGAGGTACTGCACGACCGTTTTATTACTACACCATTGCGCACCTGCAGTGATGTATTCATTGTGTTGTATGGTTTACTTTTTTTAGCGAGGGCGTCAGGCAACTATTGGAGAAGCTAAGGTGGCAGACCCATCACAACGCGGCCGTTCTCATACAGTGTACCTGGAAAAGTTGGAGGACCAGAAGAAAATGGCCTGGCACGAAGAGAGTTTTACAGATGCAGCAGTCCGCCAACCCGGCTGTACAATGTAAGCAATCGACAATGTCAAAGAATAGAATATATTATACACGATAACAATTATGATGGACGCATGATCATTTTACAGGTCTAAACGGCAAAGTGGGCATGAACGGCAGGAAAGTAACCAATATGAATAGCACCACCGGGGCGCAAATATCTGCCAGCGGCATTGTCAACAACACAAACACTGCCACGCTGACGAGGCCTAGACCTCAGCCCATAACTGGAACACCGCCACCGGATCAGAGCGAGAAATTTGATCAGAAAATATTACAGACGTGTAATCTTTTTGGATTAAATTTGGTGAGTAAAAAAATACACCGAACTCGTAATCCCGAATCTCGGGGTCTGGGTCTAGACTTGTGTGCCGAAACATGTCCAGAGGTAATTGCGCTAATCGTATTTGGTTTATTTTATCGTGATTACAGGAAAGGCCACCGCCGTTACCTCCTAGCCGTTCGTACACGATATCCGGAAATACAAAAATCGGCTATCCGCAAAGTCGAATAATGAAAAAATCGTTTCCGGGTAATTGAACGTCGTTGTGGCGATTATGATATTGAACTATTGCGTTTGTACTGTTTTAACACTGTATAATGCTTTTGCTTTTGCAGAGGAAGGTAACTGCGACGTGACGCTGATGAAAGGCGATTCGGTTGTTGTGGTGGGCGCGTCCAACAGGAGAGGTCACCTGGTCGTCGAACATTGCAACCGAAGTCTGGAAGTGCCATTCCAGTTTTTAGAACTGAAACCTAGACCCGTTGCCATATAGGTAGAGCCGGTCGTGGACGCTCGAAAAAAAAAAAAGCCTTTGATCAAATTTTAGTATGTAATTTTCGTGTACAACGTGAACTCTATGTACGAGACTCCCCGACTGAGAAACCCATCTCTGCGTGTCGCGATAAAAATTATTTATTTGTAACGTTATGTAATATTTCAATATAATATTATTGTAATTATATTTGTGTTGTAACATACTTTTTAGTACAAATCGGTTATCTTTCATTCCTGTTGATACATAATAAATATATATATATATATATATGTGTATATTGTACGTTATTATTAGAGGTATATAGTAAATAAATATGTATAATATTATAAGCTCTTTAAGTTTTAATTGTCTATCGTGTGTGTGTGTGTGTGTGTGCATTAAAAACGATGTAGGTAACTAAGTTATTGCAATAATCATAATATATTATGATGGTGTTTTTTTTTTTCCGAATGATTATTTTTCTATAACTGTGCCAATATGACGTATAGTAATAAATCATTACACCAATTTACTATTTGATTTATATCATAATTCATTATTCAGAGGTGAATGGTGATATGGTAATAATTATCATATTTTATTAATCAATAGTTTTTTTTTTTTAAGAACCGCACAAATATCTTGAACGTCTTACAATTAATTATATTCCAATGGCGCTTTCAATACCTACCTGCTGCGACTGAGCGAATTTCTGCTCCACGTTTGTTCAACTTAAAGCTTACTGATATATTTTTAAAAATCGAGGTTCGGCCACGATCCGGATGCACAACATGGGTTAAATCAGTATATTTTGTCGAAACCAAGTATACTATAACTATGATTGTTCTTACTTTTATTCTAATACACTTTTAAGTTCAATTTTTAATTATTATATATTAGTTATTAAACTATCATACTCATTCGCGTAGACACTAAAAGTAGACAATAAGTAGCACTATCAAGGCAAAATATATTGCCAAACTAGCCCGTGTAGATAAGTACCAAATGGATGAAGTATAAGACTCACAACAAACTTGTTTTCCATTTATACTTTTACTTCAGCTAAAGTTTTACTTAGGCAATTATCGACGTCTTGATTAGTTTTACGTTTTGAAACAATGCGATTATTATTAACTCAATGCTAATTTGACCATACATTTTTATACAAAACAAAAAACATTTCTATAAATAAAACAATTAAAAACGAATAATCCAACATTAATCCAACGCATAATTGTCTACAGTGATTAGATTAAAATAAAACTAAATAAAAAATAATGACTAACCTAGTCTGGTTGTGCAAACAATTTATTTTGTTGTTAATACCTACGTTTCTACCAAACAGAAGTAATTACCTGTTTTATTCTTCAAAATGACTATTATTAAAACAATTATATAGAAAAATAAATTACCTTGGATACCAGTTATATTAAGAAACATTTAATAATTTAAAAAGAACCCGAATTTTTTACTTGTTGAACTTTAGCGTTAACCATTGTTAATATTAAATCGAATTGAGTATACTGATATTAAAATCACAATCGCTAATTTTATTGTGTTTAGACCCGCGTGTGGTGTAATCGACACTTTAAAATAATAATCAGTCAAATTTATTTGTAATGAAATATGTATGTAAAAAATTGTACGATAACAATAATATATTAAATAACGATAAAAATATTAATTTTATTTTTGTTCATACACTATCACAATGTTATGATATTCAAATAATGTACCGAGAAGGGGCCCTTAGAATTTTGTAGGGCGAGTGTACTTACAACTACACGTCTTATGATGACTAAGGTGACTTGAGCGAATTAGTAATTAAGTAATATCATTTTAATTAGGTATATACTATGCCGTGCGTGTGTTGCTAATGGATGAGCTTTATGTAGCGCAATCACTATTATACCGGCCATGCAACACGATAATGCGGTTATAACAACAGAATCTGGTCACAAAAGAGTTTGTTTCTGATGATATGCTTTTTCAAAAATCGGTCGTTTGTAGGTTTAGTTTTATTTACCAAAACAATTTACATAGTTATCTTCGCGTCTTGGACCGACGAGACGGTAATAATTGGTTTGCGCTTATATTTAGAAACGCAGAAACAAAAATATGTGTTTCTAATGACCTTATGGATTTTTTTTTTTTTTAATAATAATATTATGTTTTAGTGCACTAATTAAACGAACCGATTGCGGACGAACGATAGTGATTCATTAACGTTACCTATAACCTTCAAATCACAGGTCGTTGCTATTATTTATCTCGAGTTGAGCGCATAATATAAGCGTTGATGTCCGCAAATCTTATATCAAAATTAATAATAATTACAAAAACGTGATCGTTGCTACTTTTACTTATTGGATGTGTATGTGTATTTCATGTTGAACATATATAATCTCCGCATTAACAGCAAACACACGCAAAACGCATGCACGTTACAGTTTCCCTTTTCTTTCTTTTACTTCCAATATTTACCCGCCCTCTCGGCCTAAGTAGGCAGTTATTATTATTGGAAGACAGAGGGGGGGGGGCACACGAAATACAAGTTTATGTTATGTGGGCGCCGTGCAAGTACACACATACCATCTAATTTTAAGGATGCATCTAAAAAAAAGCATTTAAACTAAAGTACACAAAGAGTCGATGCAATCACACCGGGTACAGTTTACTTGTACATTCTTGTGCATTTCTTGTATGCATTCTTTGTATTGGATCCGCGTTGCTGCGTTATGTAGGACAGCTGGCTACAATAATAATTATTGTATATTTCTAGTACTTGCACATGTGCAGTCAATTATTATTATCCGATTCCGCTATAGATCATGCCCTTGTTACCTTCTTCGGCAACGTGAAAATATAAAAATATATATTTTATTAATTGCGATAATTAACGGCGAAATAAAAACAAATGATGCGCTATACAACTTAAAATCACATCAGTTAGGACCGAACAGCTGAAACCCCATACAAATATAATCAGTTTTAATTGCTCAGCAATGAAGTTATGAACATAAAATTATAATATACACTACGGTACCAACATAAAAGCCAACGCCAGCCACCTCATAGAAACATTTTAAAAAGCAATAATTATTTAAAAAAATATATTCAAAGTGCTTTTCTCACCATTGAAACGACCGTGCCATTAAAAAAAAAAACACAATTAAATTAACAAACAATAAAACAAAAATAATTTTAAAAAAATATCAATTTAATAATTCATTTGGTTGGTAATTAAAAATGTCCTTAGTTTTTATAAGGTTAAATGGCGTTTTTTTTTGTAAATATAACAAAGACTAATGAAATAAGAACTGGTTAAAAATTAAAAGTAGCAACTACCTAATGAGATATAACAATAGAATATTATTATATAATCTATATTAGCATTTGTATTAAAAAAAAGTACAACCTAAATGCAAATTGCAGTGGCCAGTTAAATTTGAAATAATTGAAGACCTTGGAGCAACACCAAGACAATGTCTTTTTTTTAATTATTTTTTTTCAAAACGTTTTTTGGAACTAAACGTTTTGGAAAAAAAAGAAAAAAGGAGATGTTTTATTGTTGCTCCAAAGTCTTCAATTCTCTCTCTCTCTCTCTCTCTCTCTCTCTCTCTCTCACTGTCTTCCTAAATCCGTTTACACAAATCTCATTTAACAGTAACTTTAGAAGTCACCTACTATTCCACTTTCGACATTCTAAACAACCTCGAAGCTACTAAATGTTTTCAGTACTATCTTTCATATATATATTTCCTACTATTATTAGTGTAAATTGCAATACAAAATAAGTAGTAAAACAAACGAGAAGTGTAAATAAACGATTTCGGTAATTCTCAATGTCAGCAACCGTTTTGTTTGGCAGCCAGCAAATGCACAACAACGCGTTGGTCTGTTCATAGATGTTCTTTATAATAATATTATACTTCTGGTACATATACCTACAATTTAACGACATCTATTGCGTATTATAAATTGAGCAGCGTGTTTTTCTGGTTTTTTTTTTTATAAATAATGCAATTATTTTTCGTTACATCTGTATAACATGTACGAAATAAAAAATCGGATGATTTAAAAACATATATATATATATATAAATAATGCTCGCCGGTATCTATCCAACAATTGAAACAAAAAAACGTTAATGCATCTGGTTTCATACTGCGTTGAAATTAATATACAAAGCAGCGTTTGGACGGATTACACTTAACGGCCATAATTTATTCAAGTGCATTGTCTGTCTATAATTGCATCCAACGATACGGTGATTACCATAATTGATTATACTCAAGTTTCAAGCACGAGTTAAGGCTTCGTTTGGCTAAACGGCCAAACTTTTCATACACCTCCCCTTAAACTATATTCCCCGCCACTGTTTACAATACATATTTTTACAATTTAATAAATAGTTTGTAAATCGCATAATAAACTGTTTTGCTTTTGTTTGCAGACAAACCTAGTTAATTAACACTAAAGTAAACAAGTCGTTTGAACGTGACGCCTACAATTATGATTGAGTGAAAATAATTGAGCGATAACCATTTTGAAAAACGTTACATTTCAACAAGCCAGAGATTTGAAACCTAATTTTTTTTTGAAAACCATTTTTAAATCATTTCTTTCTTTCAGGAAAATCCCGTCTGTTCCAGTACAACGAAACGGTTATTGGGGGAAAAATCGATAATGACAAGACTGATTTACAATTATTAATCGATGATAATTAAGACCGACGAGTATAGCTAAGAAAGTCTCTCTTTCTCCCAACAAGGATACAATTGGGAAAACCCGTACACGACAAATTAACAACTAACAAGATTATCATAACAATTTTAACAAAACATATAACATAACATGTATTTTACTAGAGATGGTAGTTGTAATATTATGTTTCGGTTTTGTGCAATATAAACGGTTGTCGGTTGGCCATTACTTTTCCATTCACTTTGGTACACACGCATATTACATTGCATGTACCGAGTGTGTATTCTATATGCACACTTCGGATGATAAATGCTTATTTAGATAATAATATTATAATACACGTACAAACGACCTAATTGACATTGAGAATTGGTGTTTTACGTTGATTTTTAAGACTTTCCTTCCACCTTGAGGTCGGTCGCCGGTCGGATAACTACCGCATTTGTACCTACAGAAAAATGATAAGGATTCACAACGGTTCGTGGCATAAAGTGTTATACATATTATGTATTATTATTACCCACCTATTCTCACATGAACAATTATTTATATTTTAACATTCAATAATGATAAAATTGCGTTCAGCGTTTCGATAAACAATTATTTTTATTATTCGATTATAATATCATTATTATATGAAAAT